ATGTATATATATATATATATATATATATATATATATATATATATATATGTTGTGACTATGTTTGTTCCTATATTAGGCATAGGATTATATTATATAATCGCAAATTATTATTATTATTGTTATTATAAGTCTGTTTTGTGTATACCTGTATAATTGTTTTGACCATGTCGTGGTGGTGTCTATGTTGACTCGCAAGAGGGAATATAACTCAAATTATATTTATTAGACTTTAATAATAATAATAATAATAATAAGAATAATAATAATAATAATAATAATAATAATAATAATAATAATAATAATCATAATAATAATAATAAAAAGAATAATAATAATGTAGTTTTATATAGCGCCATATCCATTTAACATACCGTAAGATGCCCAGGGCGCTTGATATGTGGACAGGAACTCGATCAATGATTTTAGGTCTAGTTTGCTTTACAGTAAAGTAGTATTGCAGACAACTAGTACAGTTTTATTTATGAGCGAAATCTTTTAAACATTGTTATTGGTGATTGCCCATCGAAGGTGAAACAACGGAAAAACTCGTATTAAATTACAAATTACAAATTATTGCTCCGGTGCATCTATTCTAGGGAGGCGTTTATTGCTAATGAGCTTATGGAAGGGGCGTTTATTTTGAATAAATACGGTATTTAACAACAGATTTCTCACAGAAATATTAATAGGCCACCAATATTGCAACTGGTCAGTTAGGTTGAAATTTGTTGATAATCACCGCTCTCGAATAATGAGTGCAACCATGGAGGTACAATTCTACCTAAGTGATCAGTTACGGTGACAAATAAAATGCTGATACACTTTTATACTGGTGACAGCACAATTCATCATTCAATTGATCAGAATCCCCTAATCAGGTTTGGTGACGGCATCATGAATGGTGATGTCACCGAAACTGATATTTATCAGATCTATAAGGTAGAACCTTGTGCTTCTAAGCAAAGTGGGCGGAGCTAAAAAAAGATATTTGTTTCAGTAACTTGTGATCTAACTCCATGTTCAAAGTTATTATGAAGTTTCTTGCTTGTGAATGTGGTGTATCAGTTTATTGAAGGCAATCAAAGGTAAGACTTTACATACACTTTGCTTTAACACAAAATAGGTTATACACTCATTCCCACAGTAAATCAGTTACTTTCCTACTATTCTACACATCATACCACACTTAACTAGAAAACGTTTGTTAAATTATCCCTATAAGCAGATTTTTGAAAATTAATCAATATTTGTATTGTACTTTTATTTTTCCAGTTTAAAATAAGTGAACATGCCAACAAACGTACCAATACAAACATCTTCTCCAGTAGCTCAGTTAGTAACTTGCCAACCAAAAATCAAACCATACCGGAAAGCGGCAATTATTACCGGCCTTATCCAGATTGCTCTATCAGCGCTATCCTTTGCATTTGGTGTGGCTTCCATTTTTTCAGGTTATTTTGCTGTGAATATTGCACTTCCCGTTTGGGGTGCACTTGGGGTAAATATTATGATTAAAAATGCTTATAGTTTCATCACAATGTGATATTATGATTAAAATGCTTATAGTTACATCACATTGTGATATTATGATTAAAAATGCTTATAGTTTCATCACATTGTGATATTATGATTAAAAATGCTTATATATAGTTTCAACTAATTGCTACTGTTAATTCTTCCCGTTGGAATGAAACAGCACTTGTATTTCTATCATGGTCAATCAGCAGCTATTTTTTAATTGTTTAATTAATTGATGCATTTTCCCTGTTTCCCAGGACGAACATAACTATGTCGAATTCATATCCTAATATCGAGTGTATCCCATAACTATCGAGTTTACTTACAAATTACCGTACTACCTTTCACGTTTACACACATTCCTCCTGGTTAAGTTTATTAACACAAATCGCACCTGTCCAGTTTAGCCTTTAGCGATGTGTGTAAATGCTGTGTAGAAACGTTCATGTAGGTCGACTCAACATATTCCATGCATTTTATAATAGGTATTCTAGTATTAATTCGCAACTCCATTGCCGCCAGCCTCAGTGATGGCGTGATTTAATTTCATTTATTTAGTCCGAAGTGCAACTGACAAACACAAAATGACCAAAAAAAAAAAAAAAAAAAGAAACAGAACTCAATTTGCCGGACAGGATTGCCGAAAACTGAATTGAATCATTGTCTTGGCTCTCTGGTGCCAATGAGAACAAAATAAATTACCATAGGCCTAATATAGTCAAGTAAAATATGGTTAAAATATATATAAAAATAGGCCTATATACTGTATGTACAAAATCATCAATGAAATCAGTCAAAAGTTTTCTGTGAAAGGCGCTATATAAATATATGAACATTAACATTAAAAGTAAATAAGGTAAAATTTTTAAAAAATATGCGGATTATATTTGTGCTGTTACAGTAATAATCAGGGGGTTTAGGTGGTGGGATGGGCCGGCCCTTGTGCTGTTACAGTAATAATCAGGGGGTTTAGGTGGTGGGATGGGCCGGCCCCGGCCCCTCCTCCCTTTTTTTGGAAAGATAAAAAACATAAATTTAATAAAGAAAAATAACGTCTCAGAAGTCAATTTTGGCCGTCAAGAAAACAATAATTCCCTCCGAACCCCCTACAGTACCGGTAAGTTGTTTCTTGATCGTCCCCGCTCCTTTCAGTCATCTCTAGATCCACCCCTGATTATTGCTTTCACATATTTTTCATTTCAAAATACTAGACCACAGTACCATTGTTTAAAATAAATTAATTAAATAATTGTATATGCCTTATGAAAGATGTGTAGAATTGTAAATGTTATTTCATTCTAAAACCGTTTAATTTTCTATACAATATGCAGTTCTACCTGATGGCCGGATGTCTTGGAGTGATTGCAGGATATTTAAAAGAAAAAAATGCATGTGTTGTGAGTTACATAACTTTTTACTTGATAATAATAATGAAAATAATTATTATAATTTTAATAATAATAATAATAATAATAATAATAGGCCTAATAATAATAAGGCCTAATAATAATAATTGTTGTTATTGCTTATATTACGTTGATTTTCTTAGCTATAAATACTTGTTATTAGTTACTAATTAGTATACTTGTTATTATTTGTACAATTTATATTATTATAGACCGGTCGGATTTGGAGGAAGGTGTCACATTTTTGCAGAATTTACCAGACCAACTTTTTCTAATGTATTTTTGACGTAGATTACGAATCTGATTGTTGATCGGTCCGGGGAGGGGGATTTTTCGAGATATGTGGGGTCAAAGGTCAAATCTGGCATGTTTAAGGAAGGGGATCACAAAAGTGAATTAGTGTACCAAAATAATGTTTTCTAATGTAATTTAGGTCATAGATTCCAAAAATGGACAGGTATGGAGTCGTTCAAAAGTTATTGGGTCAAAGGTCAAATAAGACATAATCTGGGAAAGGGTGTTGCCTGTGTGATAAATGTGAAAAAAGAAACATTTCTGACATGTTTTTGGGCGTAGAATGGGAATGTATTATCTGTACAGTTAAAATTGTTACATTGTTTAACCCAAAATGAAACTTTTCGGTACCTGTACTCACTATAACTATAGGATTCATTATTTATCTCTGGTTCTTAATTGCTGACAAGCATGCCAAACTTTGACCCTGGGAAAATATTTCTTTTTTAAATAAAATTAATAATCATTCTACAAATACTTTTCCAAAAAAAAAAAAGAAGACGCAACACCTGGGCCGTGTGCAATAATTACTTTTACTATAAGACAACTCAAGAAAGTTTTAAGGTAATAAAGGATGTTATAATAATGGTAGGAATATCTATAATTTGTTTAAGATATTATGAGGGAGATTTTACAACCTTATGAAAACGATAACGAATACGTCATGATTATTATCATCATTCACGCAAAATGCATGATTTATGGAAGCAAAAGGCATGAATTACCTACGTTGTGACCGACTGTATGTAAAGGATTGTCTTAAAATTTGATGAAATGACTGTGTTCGTTATCGTTTTGTGAAAACTCCCTACTAAGATAAATATTATATAGTAATTATATATAATTGGAATGATGAATCTAAATTATTATTATAGGCCTATTAACTAATTACTTAATATCATTTTCAGATTGTGTGTTGTTTGGTGATGTCAATACTTGCAGCTGTAACTGCCTTGGCCCATGCTACTATTGGAAGTATTTCGGCGGCGCATGGTTCTTTTGTTTATGTGAGAGAACATTATATCATTGCCCTTATTTAAGTAGCTGTGCTGCTTTTTAGGGAATTGAAGAGAGAAATGGATGTGGAAAAAAGGAGCATAAAAGGAATAGGAAATAATTAAAGAATGGAATGAAGGGAGGTAGGAAAGATGGATATATGTGTAGAGCTGTAATAATAAGCAAAAGATTGTTTGAAGGTTTGCATGGCGAAGTATAATATATAATTAATACTTGCGGTACACCACGTAGATAGTTCTGAAAAGAACTGTTGTTGTTGGTTGAGAATATATAAGCAAAAGGGAAGGAAAGCCGAAATCAGAGAAGATACAAGATACAGCATAATTTTGTTGATTGAAGACTATTTAGTTAATTTATCTAATAACGATTATATCAATTTTATCAATGTTATGAAGTCTACTGAATATGATGTTATTCTATCCGTAACTAGCTTCATAAAACAAGCTCTAAAATTGCGAAAGGAACGGGTTTATAATTTTTTTTAAACTTTTTTTTTTGTCTCTTTTGATTGCACATTTGCTGATTCCTCTTTTTGTTGTCACGTTTTGTCATTAATTGTATCTTGACTGTAATATTTTTTTATTTAGTGATGTCATTAAAAGAATACATTATCCAAAAAAAAAAAATCTGAAAATTGTAGATGGTAGAATGAAGAGAAAATAACCACAAGTGGGTAAAAGTGGAGCATTGAAAAAAAGTGATATAGATGGTAGGAAATTAGTATATTTTGTAATTTCTTCAAAATTCAAATTTTATTATAATTAGCAATTGATATTTATCAATAGACTCCAGAAGGGTATTTTGTTGTCAGCATTCTGAGTGTCCTAGTTGCAGTGATTGAACTTGCCACAGCCATTGTTACATCAGTATTAATGTGTTGTGAGATAGACGGTCACAATGAGACCTGTTGTTGCTGTCTCCAGCCGCAACCAAATGTAAGTCATTAAGGGTAGTATTTGTTATATTCTTAATTCAATTTCACTTTAAAATTTCACTTTACCTGCTTTGAAGATTTTTTGATTATTATGATAATGGTTATATTACAAAATTTAGCTATTTCCTTGTTAGATGGAACAAATATCATATCCTGCCCTGCTACATCTTGTGTGCAGTCTTATGCCTTCCTATCAAGCCACTTGATGTGGGTTTTGGCGTGTCAGGATAGTTGCGCTGGCGTGCGCCCCTTCCCCAACCAAAAAAAAACCAACCAAAAAAAAAACAAAAAAAAAAAAAAAACATCGCGTGTATTCATACAATTATGTTTGAAGTAGTAGAACAAGTCAAGTTAGATCTGATAAATTATCTAAGCTAATGGAAAATAAACAAAGTATATTTTAATATTTTAAAATAATTATTATTTGTATTTAATATTTGTGCAATACTTTCGTTTACATTATAGATTATCGGCCAGCCTCAATATGTACCTTATGTTGTTCAACCTGGTAATTTTGTTTTTCTTTTCTGGGGAGTCGCACTCACATTATTTCAGACAATAATAATAATAATAATAATAAATCAATAGTTATATTTATAGTGTAAAAAGCATCTACAGACTTAAAATAAGACATGCATACATAAATCAGATAAAAAAAAACATTGGTTTTGAAACTTATTAAAAGATTTTTTCTTCCACCTTAGCAAATTAGAGGAAACAAAATATACGCAAAAATTAAAATAATTTTAAAATTATTGTTGATAAATCTGATTTTAAAACTAAGTTAAGATTTTTTTTTTCTGAGCGAGTTTCATAAATCTGATTTTAAGACTGATTTTTTTTTTTCCCCCTTTGGCAAGACTGATTTTTTTTTTTTTTTTTTTTTTTTTGGCAAGTTTCATAAATCTGCACCCTGTCGGCATGACACCATAAATTATTGTACCAAGATATTTATTCAGTCTAAAATACTTAAATTACTATCGCAGGTCAAGTTTTCAGCAGAGGTCAAATTCAGGTTCAGAGATATCAGCAGCAGCCGTTTGTTGGGCATCCTGTTGTCATTGGTCAGCCACAGGTTGTGGGTCACCCACATATGGCTGGTCAACCACAAGTCATTTGTCAGTCACAGATTGTGGGTCAGCCAAATGTCGCTGGTCAACCACAAGTCATTGGTCGGTCACAGATTGTGGGTCAGCCAAATGTGACTGGTCAACCACAAGTCATTGGTCAGCCGCAGATTGTGGGTCAATCACAAGGTATTGGTCAGTCACAGGTTGTGGGTCAACCAAATGGGGCTGTTCAACCACAAGTCATGGATCAGCCGCATGATGTGGGTCAGCCACCAGTCGTGAGTCAACTACAGTTCACTGGTCAACCACAGCAAAATGTAGAGTATATGGGCCAAGCCTCTGGACAGATGCCTGTCTGCACTGAACAAGAGAGAAATTAAATTCATTGATTCATCATTGTAGCACCAGCTTACATATATTTCATTATAATTTAGTTTATAAAATAATCATATTACACATTACAAAGTTTCAGTTTTATAATATCTAAAATAGTGCTATAGGCCTACACTTTAATTGTAAAATTGTTGATAATATAATTATATGTAATAATGTTAGTTTTATTGTATTTTATTATAGATATATTTCAAATACGTTACGGTATAGCGACTCATAATTATTTGGAAATGTATATGAATGGCAATAATAAATCAATGACAATGATATTGTTACTTTAAATATTATACAAAATACCTAGGCATTATTAATCATTAAGATTATTTCGTGTTTGTATTGTGTGGCCGCTTGGTTTCAGGAAGAACAAGCCATGTCGGCTTTTATATAAACAGAGAAAATACTATAAACATCATAAATTGTTTGTCCATTTGTTTTATTATATAAGAGGCCTATTCTGTCAGAAACGAACTGTACAATATACAAACTGAGAGAATGTATGGACGAGAAGATAACCACTATCAAAATGGACACACAATTGATTTGCTTGTAAGTACTTTTAAGTAGGCCTACTTATGTTGTAGGATCTTCAAATTTTATAATGAACTAGTAAGCAGTTTCGATTGTGTTTTGACTTCATAACTACTACAAATGGCAATATCATAGACTGAATTATGTGTGGTCTATTAAAATAGATAACATCACATAACTATAGTCAAATTGATAATACAGTACAAAAACGTGGGGTTATTCCAAGAAAAAAACACTCAGATTTTAAAGGTAAGAAACATGTTTAAATGTATTTACAGCCTAACAATACGTTGCAATAACATTATAATAACACTGTAGTTTGGTATTCCATTATGTTAAAAGCGTTGACTTCGAATAAGAATTCCTTACATCTCATTTTTTATATTTTCATACACATGTTATAGGCATAGGCCTATTTATTTTCTATTCTAATCACACGTGTGAATATGAATGCGACATTGGGGAATAAATCGAAAATCGAAATCAAGTTAGAATAAATAAAATAGTAGAGATTTGAATTAAATTGTTGTAGTAGACTAAAATAAGGAGCAACACTACCGTATTTAAAGAATAAAAACAAAAGGTAGGCTAAATTTAATAATGTAAACAAACGGTTCTTTTCTGGGTTGATAAGTAAATGGGCTGTTATGTTGACAGCAGACGGGTA